AAACTTGAAGCCATCCAATGCAGAGGATGACTACTGCCTATTCTTTTTTCCATGCAAACAGCTCTTACCCTACATACAGTCCATGCAGTATGTTTTGAATGTATCATTACAAGACAAAGCAGCACATATGTAAAAATAACTGCTTAAAGATGTCCTTATCCCCTCTCCAATCTGTCAGAGATACCCACAACCCTTGCTGCTTGCAGGGTTACACCCTGAAGGGAGGCTGGACAGGGGAAAATCATTTCATTATTAAAGTTAACTATCAGTGCTTCTAAGACAGATTTAAACAACTGGTTCTAACTTTATCATTTAGTCAATTATGTTTAGCATAAAATACCACGGAGTGTTTAAAAAAAGTAGTCAAGAGACCAAAATAAAGTGTGGTTCAGGAATTAAGATTTTCTGCCAAGGAGTAAGGCATGCAGAGTTCTACCTGCTCTGAGAGATACATACACAAACGTTGAGCATTTGTGACAGAACAGATTTATAAGGCACAGATGACATATAGAACAAGATTTCTCACCCAGGTGAAAGGAACAGGGGAAGGAGACCAGGCTGTACAGCTCACAGCAGGGACCCTTCCCCTCCAAACCATCCCAACAGGCCCTGTCTGCCATATCCAGCCAAGGCCAGCCTGGCAGTTCATCACCTCTCAGTGAGTAATTCATGCTGTACTTCCCCAAACACTTCAAGTCTAGACTGACACCAGCAAGGAAAGGTGCATGACCCTTCCCCTCCTCCAGCACCTTGTTCCTACCCCTAACACTTCCCACTCCACTATCACAGCATAAACAGCCCCATCAAGGTTTAGCTCCACCATGGATGTGATGAGGAGGCCAGTCTGGGCTGACTAAACCAGCAAAACCAACAAATGAAACCCCCCCGGCCCCCACAAAAACATCCCCTAATCAAGCTTCACTTTCCAGCATCTCAGTAGGACAGAAATGGGCATCTAGGACAACTTCAGGTGGCAGTGCCTGCTGAAAGCACCTTGATTATGTCACTGCCTTCAGGCTGCCTTTATCAATAATACTCAGTGAGGAGTTACAAGCAGTGAAGAGAGCAGGAGGTGTCTCCACCTCTCCCAGACATTTCCCAGCCAACTCCATACCAAAGTCTGGACAGGGCAGGGTTTCTGAAGGCGTGGGTAACACATCTGGCACAATTTCAGAGAACTGATGGGGAAAAAAGAAACCCTGTGAGAGAGACAAAGCAGTCAACAAAGGAAAAACTAAGCAGACAGATGTAGGAATACTAGGAATGAACCAACAGTCCTTTTAAGGATGTACCGTGGAACAAGATTCATTACAGATTGCTCTGAATACTTTGGATTTGTTTAAGAAACACACTCTTAGTTGTTTCTTTCACAGAGCTAAGAAGAATGTGTGCCTACTCGATTTGGGAGGCACCATCCCCACAGGGAAGTCTGGCCTGTGACAGCAGAACCCACCTTACTGACCTAAACTGAAGGAGAAGAGCACACTCTTCTTGTATCAGGCAATAAACAGGTGGAGGAAAAAGGAGAAGAAATGCTGTTTACTTTTCATCTCTGGGCTACAGTTCAAGCACAGCAGTTGAACTCACAACCCAAGAATCCCCAGCAGTGCCCTGCAGCAAACACACTGCCAGCACCACTGTAAAACCCAGCCCTGAGTGCCGGGAGAGTGGAAGCTCCAGCAAGTTCTGAAGTGTAAGCCCCAAGTGAACTAACTCTGTTAGATAGGTTTCAAAGTGACAATCGTTCTCATCCACTTGTACTCCTTCAATCCACAGCCAGTTGGAACCAGCTTCACCAGGCCCACAGCAACACTTGGTTCTTGCACATCACATTCCCTTAAGCCCCACAGGCCACCAGGACTCTCCAACAGTCAAAAGACAACAGAGCTTAATTTTAAATATACATTAGTTATCTCTTTCCCCAAGAAATCAGTCACCTTGAACTTCATGTTAACCTTGTTCTAGGCCACTATGGTAGAAAACATTGGTGTTCCTGTAGAAACCACTTGTAATTCCTCACTGTAATTCAAACTGGCATTTGCAGGAGGCCCCGTTATCCAGCAGATCCTACCCGTTCTGCTTGGATTTTAATAAATTTTAACCAAATGAATCAGCTCAAAATCTCATTCTTTTGATAAAGAATCACTCGACAGATACATCCACTGCTTCAAAGACAAGTCAATTAAAAGGAGAACAAGTTCAAGTACATTTACTGGCAGAGTTTGAACGGGGGAATGCCACTAATCCTTCTGATTTGGAAAGAAAACTGACCATCAAGGAAACTATTCATGCTGAGTTGCACTCATCATATTTTGTACAGCCTGGATTTGCAACAAATAGAAGCCTTGATGACATGTTTATTTACTGAGGTGGGTAAAGCAATAATGGGTGTCTTCAAACAGAACACAAAATAAAATACAAACACACACATAGGCACCTTCTTAAATCTACAAATGATACACATCTATCCCCATGTTTCAGCTAAAAAGAACAGATGTGGAAAAGAGCAGTCTGATACATGTTTCTAATGAAACTTGACATTAAATATAAAATCTAGTAAAAAGAATTTGTACTACAGTCAAGATGTGAAGAGGGAGTTCAACCCAACAGCTGTCCTAAAATATCAGACATTTTCCTTGGTATCTTCTGACAGATAATATCTTCTAAGAGAAAAGAAAATAACCACTCTGCCAAGAATTCCTCCTACTCCTGCTCCTCCAATCTTTATTTTTAACTTCAGGGTTAACTTTAAAAGTTAAAAAGTTAACATCTCTCCTACATGAGATAGACTCAAAGCAAACAGACCCTCCACAACTGACTCAGCTCAAACTTGGAAGTGTGTGGTCTGAAGTTCCCAAATCCTAACGAGGCACAATCTGTCAGCTGGAGTAGGGTAACACACACACTCTTGGTCATCAATGTTCACAAACTGACTTGACATTTAACACGAACTTGTCCTATTTTATAGTTTTGCTTGGCTAAGGACTGACAAGTGTTCAAGCTAAAAGTTCCCAAGACTCCAGCTGGCAAACAAACAGAACAGAACTCACTGAGTCACAATAATGCAGCTGATTTCAATGTAAGAACAGATACTTTGGGCAAAATTGTCCAACTGACAGTTAAATTGTTTGAAGTATGTCACAGTAAGGCCACCAACATAAATTTGGTTTATTTCTTTAAAAGTTACTGTTTAAATTGGTGGACCTTTCCAATATACTCTGCAAAACAACCAGATAAAACCACAAAAGAGTCTGCGGAGCTTCCATCAATCTTCCTAAGGTTATTCCTATTACAAGGGGTATTTGGAAAAACGTGACATCTGGGATATACCAAATGAAATTACCCACCTTTCATTTCAGAATTAACAGCTTTAGCTGCTGGTTTTTTACCCCCTCGGTTAGAAAGTATAGTAACTGTTTATGTTAGAGAAAGGAATCCATGAAATCTTTCAGCAGAACAGCAACAATCAGCACACAACTCCACCTGCATTCTGGCTTTCTCACCAAGATTCCTTTAAACTCTTTTCCAAGAGCCAAACCATTATTGCCTTACAAAACTTGATGAACATACTTCTGAGTTTCACGTGTGACTACACAGTCACAAGCAACGTTAAATACTCACAAAACCATGTTCTTAAAGATAAACACAACCCTTCCCACAGATTAAACCTGGAAGCATGAAATATTTTAAGTAACACTGCAATAGTGAAAAAAAAAATCACTTCTCAAAAATCAGAGGAAAAAAATCCCCTAATATTTATTACAATTGCTATCAGAATGCAAGATACAGACTATTGTCAGGCACAGGAATGACCTACAACAACTGATCCTTGGTATTTTATAACTTCAAAAATACCACAGAGAATTTCAGAAGAAAAAAAAAAGCATATAAGGATCTAAAGATATGAGACATCTATTTTCAAAAGGAAATGTTCTTGTCTTAACTATTCACACAACACAAAAATAAACTGGTTTATAATCTCAGAGAAACCAAACACAGAATACCCATAAAAACATTTAGACCTGATCGAAGATATTAAGTAAAGCAGCTCCACGATTTAGCTTTTCAATTACAACCACCATGCAGTGACTTTGTGAAACATTAAGGAACAGCATGAGACATACTAGTAGAGCCATAGTTTCATATGAAGTGTTTTACTCTAAAAATAGTTGAGTATTTCAAGTGTTGAACCTGCTCGTGTGCTGGGGTACAGGATATCTGCTTCTGGGAAGCTACAGCACAAAAGTTAACTCACAAGGTCTCTGTTCTTTAACAGCACTGGGTGAATTACCCACAATTTCCTTAGGAAAGCACTAAAATACAGAACAAAACTGGTATTTGAATGTTTTTGAAGCAGTTGACTGCTGAAATACTTTCAGAAAGCCTGTAAACATTTACAACACAGTAGCTGTATTAATACAACATTATTACTTTCAAGGTCAGTATTACACATGCAGTTTCTTGGAGCTACATATTTTGGTGTTATTTTTAACATCTGACAGAGCATCTTGTACTGTTGCAGCTCTACACTGTTTACAAATACTCCCAAGCTGCAGCTGCTGACTCTACAAGCATAGCTTGCCATAGAAAAAAAAAAAAAGAGTTATTTTAATTACCCAGTAATGGCATTTTTTACAGTACTATATACATCAGTGGTCTGTAGACTGGTCTTTGTAATTTTTCCCCCTTTTAATGATTACACGGAAAAACAAGATTTGGTTACAAGGATATCCATTTCTATGAAAGGTCAAAAAAGTCCAAGCACACTTGGGAAACACGTGTAACCCCGTTCAGATTATGGATGAACTCCACAGCCTCTCTCAGCAGGTGCTATTTCAGGAACTTCTACATTTGGCTTACTTTTTAAAATGGAAATGCAGAGATAAAAAAAAAAACACTGTTTTGAAATCAAATGCCAAGCTTCTGTTTTTAATACTTCATTCTCCCAAAAATACTTAACCACGAGCATAACAGTAGAAGGCAGCAGGAAAACAACTTACCGACACACGCATTTAGGAACAGCCAGTCTGTCTTTTTCATTCTATTTTTTATTTGCTTTAGTTTTTTGAAGTCAACTTCAAGTTCCTCCTTGCTGCCAACAGCTCCAGCCAATTCGATTCTTTGGAAGTCCATTTTCACATCGGATTCACGTTTGGTTGTGGGTGGAGATCTTCTTTGGCTATTTCCACTACTACAGCTCCCCCTCCACCGAGCCCTGTCCTGCTCGTTTATGATGGAAGAAGCCTCTTCTGTGTCTGCCAGTTCTATTGCTTCGATGTTGTTGGGCCTGGGGTGGTCACACACAACACATTTCCTGGCCTTCGCCCAGTTTTCGTACGTACACACAGAACAAGTCCAGTGCTGAGCCCTTGTGTTCAGTTTATTTCTGTCATTGTACTCCTCGCACGGATCAACGGCAAAGGGGACCGGCCGGGACCCAGACCCCGAAGACTGAGGGGACTCCGTGGGACTCCTGGTCCTACGCTGAGACAAGCACTGAGTGCACCTGATGGCCCTGGGCCAGTTCAAGTACGTGCACATGTGGCACGACCATTTATTTGCGCTTTCCATGCTGTAGGATGATTTAACCCTTGGTCTCGCACTAGAATCCGGACATATCAAAGGACTGCTCCCTCCTTCGGTGCTCGTGGGATCCCAGTCTCTGCCGATGTCACTGGAACCACTTTTGAACGGATCTTCTGTGATAATTGTTCCACTGGGCCTCTGAGCACGACACATGGTGCATTTGATTGCAGAGGGCCAGTTTTCATATGTACAATACTCACAAGCCCATTTAATTCCACGCTCTGTCATCGTGCACTTCTTGAACTGAGCTGCGTCGGGCAGAAAGCTGAGGAGTCACAACACACCGTTAGTACACACTGCCTGCACAGGAGCTGCTTCAAACCAAAAATAAATGAGATTTAACCCAGCTGATACAAAAATCAGGCTGGGCAAACAGGCAATCGTTGTTATTGATACTATTACAACCGCTATGAAAAGGGTAAGACTTGACTTAACGGCATTTTGCATGCAGAATTCAGGATTTCCTAGCGCAGAAATGAGAAAAAAACCTCAGCCTTGCATTTGTGGGATTCCTCAAATTTGCACAGAGGCTTCCAAACAAAGTCAGGAAACAGATATGCATTAAGCACTGAGAACACCAGAGAAGAGACCAGTACAGCTACAGAAACAAGCCCTAAATATTAAATTATTAAAATCAAACTCAGTATGAATATAGCGGTACAAGAAAAGGAACACAAAGTTCAGAGATTCTGTAAGGTCTTGTAATAGACCTCACTAGATCTGGAAGGAAGGAGAGTATCAGATGGGCATATCAGTTCTTTCGGAATAGGAGGGTGTAGGAATTTACATAAAATGCCTGTATTTGAAAATTTCACACATGTACTTAAGCAAGACTAGGCCTTGACTGGACATCACCTATAACAGTGGTGTGAGGAAGTGAAAATACCACTTGAAAGCAAGCACAAACTGTGTGTGTTGGCAGGCTAATGTGGTATTTTTATTCTACAAATTCAGATTTCAACCCAATTCCAACTCACTTTTTCTCTAATGAAGAGGGGATTCTGTCTTCATGCTGGCTCAGACCTTTTCCTCAGATTGCCAAATATGAAGGATGAGACTAAGCAGATAAGTATTCCTGTAAACAAAATAAAAACAGACTCATTATAGGTTTCCTACTGGACCTGAGTAACCAGAAAGTTAATTATTAAATGCCACACCTATTCTGATCCCAATTTAGTTGGTTAAACCCAGTCATGACCTGTTGAGACTAAGAGAGATTGGTTAAAATAAACCAGTATTTATAAAGAACCAGTCGCCACACAAGTGACCAGTCTGCTGAAGTAAAGAAGTACATCCAAGCAACATCAAGTTCACAACAAAATATCCACAAACACTCCTACTGCAATCTGCAACTTAGGATGGGGAAGGCAAAAAAAAGCTTTGTGTAGAGAGTAGAATAGAGGGAAAGGGTGAGGCAGGTAGATAAAGGACAAATAGGCAAATGCATACAGTATTTCCTCCCTTACCACAGAATAGTTACCCAACATATAAGGCTCAACAATGTGCTGTTTTAAGCATGCAAAACTGATTAAAATACTAATTTGTCACATCAGACTGTCATTTCTAATTCATCATATTGCAAATCTCTCTGTTGTCTACAAAACACCAAGAGCCCAGTAAACAAAAACCCAGAAGTTACACAACAGGATTCAGTTCAAAACTGGACACATCAAACTAAAAATTAGTTATCCCCGTTCCCCGATCATTAAATGTTTTACGAGTCAGTACATTCGTCACTGCAATACCTTCACACACACCTTGCCCTACAAGGCATAGCTAAACGTCCACTTCAGTTTGTCACCCTTATTCCTACTGTCTCCTGCTGAGGACTCCAGGAACACACGGGATTTTTCCAGCAGCTCTGCTGATCTATTCACCAGATCAGGTGGCTGCATGAATGAGGGGCTATCGCATGGCAGGACCAGGGGGCAGGGCTGGACTATCCCTTTCTGAGTGATCCATATTTATGCTCCATGAAGATGAGCAATCAGGAACACAGAAAGCTTTCCCATAAAGCTCGGGTTCCAACATCACTTGTTTGAACAGCCTGCAGAGCACTTCACTCCCACCTATACGTTATAGAAGTGTGCCAGGTTGAGGAATGTGCTGAGAAGGCAATTACAGTTCCTACTGCTTCCCCTCCACCGTGCCTCAGAGATGTCCACGCCCATGCAGCACGAGAAAAAGGAGTAGGATCATACAAGGATCCCTGTATCTGTAATAAAGTAAGGGAAAAATACATACATATATACAGGAGAATACAAAGTCAACTTGATTTTACTAAAGGTGACTTCATAAAGAAGGCTTTTCAGGAACTTCAAGGAAAAAAGGGTTCTCTACTCCACAGATAAACTAAAGCTTTACCAAACACCTCCTATATGAGTATAGTAGACACTAGGTTTATCTATTCAATTTGGTGAAGGCTTTTTCCCCCAACTCCCAAAATAAGGTTTTTAATTACTTTCTTAATAAGCTTATTCTCTCTAGAAAGAGTAGAGTTTTCTGAGGAATTAAAGTTTTCTAGTTAGAAACGTAAGGGAGTTGAACGTGCTTTCCATTAAAGACAAGGCACAACACACTGCCCGTGCACCTGCCCACTGCCACCGAAAATTATGCCACTGAGGACCACCAGAAAGTGGCTGTCCCAAAATTCCAATGCTTGAGAATAATTCCTACTGAAGCTGGTATGGTTTGAGCAGGTGATGCTTCCAAAGAGCCCCGTATGCAATGTGTGACGGGTACCTGTAACTGTAAATGTAGTCTCTTACCTGCCCTAGTTTGTGAAGTCTTAAATAGTTCCCACTTCAGACAAATCCCAACACACATTTGGGATGGGGTAAGAAAACGAGGCATCATCTGTTTAAGTGATATTAAGACTGAGAAAGGAGACTGCAGCTCAAGTTGGAAAGCAGCTGGCTACAAAAACCATCTAAACAAGTACTGAGATACCACTTAGGAAACTAAATAGCTCAGGACATCCCGCGCTACCGAAAAGCTTTCATGTATATCACAAGATTAGGTTTTTAGCTGCAATTATCCTCTGTGCCCATTAAAGAGCAGATGCTTTCAGACATAATTCTTAGAGAGGCTGAGTCTCTGCAGCTTTGAAAGCCTCTGAGATATGAGCTCACCACCTCCTAACAGGAGGCCTCGGGTTATTATGAAGTAAAGAATATAAAAAGGCTCAATGGAGCAATACAATTTCTCTTCCTTGACAGTTCTGCCAACACCCACTATGGCAAGGAAATTCAGCACTTTCATGTATTGGGTTTTTTTGTTTTGTTTTTTTTTACTATTAGGTCTCGGTCTGATCCCCAGCTGCATCCCACAGACCCATCCAAATTTGTTTTCATCAGGAACTGTAGTGACAGGACATGGCAAAATGGCTTCACACTTATAGAGAGTAGGTTTAGATTAGATGTTAGGAAGCAATTTTTCCCTGTGAGGGTGGTGAGGCCATGGTACAGGTTGCCCAGAGAAGCTGTGGCTGCCCCATCCCTGGAAGTGTCCAAGGCCAGGTTGGACAGGGTTTGGAGCAACCTGGGCTGGTGAAAGTTGTCCCTGTCTGTGGCAGGGGGTGGAACAAGAGGAGCTTTAAGGTCCCTTCCAACCCAAACCATTCTGTGATTTTATGATCTTGTGATTTCCTGCTGACACAGCACCACCATCCAGCCACTGAGTAGTTTGAAGCTTATTACATTTTTTCCCAATTACTTCTTTGACTCTGTTTTCAAGTTAACTTGTTATTTTAGATTCTTCACAGAGGAGAAGCTGAATCATGGAGTAACCTCTCTGACAAAGAAATAGCAACACAGTGACTGTGAAGTGCAGGTGCACGTTTTAAAGTCCAAAAAGCATGAGTTGACAAGAAATTAAAACCCACAGAACTTTAAACAAGTTCCAATTGATCAGTTTAGACAGTGCACTAAATACCTTCTGGACAGACCAGTATGATAACTCACTACACTGAAGAGACAAATATGTTAAGTGCTGATAAATGAAGAACAAACAAAAAAAGAAATCGAAACCTTATCAGGCCACCCTTTTACTAAATAAACTAAGTGGGAAAAGGTCACCCAGAACGATTAGAAATTTGTCTTTTGCTTTGTTTCAACTTTTAAGACTATTCTTCTTTGTAGGTGCATGGGAAAATGCAAAAGGGCTCACAGAAATTGGGAAGAAATAATGAAGTTCTCAAATACCACTTTTATGACAGGATATTTTGCACTCCCCTCAATTTAATTGTTCACTGTGTCCAGAAAATGTTTTCCTTTGGCTCCAACAAGGAACAATATGGAGCTCCACTTCATTAAATGATCAAACCCTTCCCTGCAAACAGATGCTGATTTAGACTGGTCTACACTACGGATTTTTTGCTGGGATGGTGCTGGCATCTGTGCTGGTTGAAACCTTATGTAATTACACCCATCAAATCAGTGTTCCCACCTTAAACTCCTTTTGTTCGCGTGTACAAATTCTGGACCAAAGCAAACGCTTCTGTATTTACAGGGAAAAGGAAGCTCAGGTGCCAACTTCAGCCTTCAGCAACACTTGAAAGACAAGAAGATCCATCCTCCTTCCCCATAGAGGCAGCTGCCTCTCTTAGGCTGCTCCAAAAAGAAAGCCAGGTTGGTTTATTTATTTTAAAAACACTGAAGCAACTTTTCAGAGGAACAAAATAAGCAGAAGCATCTTGCTCTGAAAGAAAGAGATCTCTATAACCAAATGCAGAATCAATTAAGTCATCAGTTCATAAGCATGAGAGTAACACCTTTCTCACATCCCTGCCTAATTTTCCAAGGTGGAATTTTACCTTTTGTTCTCTTAACTTACTAAACTTAGTTACTCTATCTTCAGCCACTCACTCTTCTTGGATGATGGCTCTCCCCAGAATTCAGTATAAGCCTCAACAGATCACTATATTAAAAACAGAAAACTTGAGCCTGGGCTTCTATAATTTGAAGGGAACTAACAATAAGCTCCATTGTCGTCTCTGCAAATTAATTTTAATAAAATTAAGAACACTGACCTTGTCAACGGGACAACCAAATCAGATCAGTACTGAATCTGGAAGCTTTGCAGTAGGGGCAATATCTATATATTACAGCAAAGATTGGAAAGATTACTGCAAAGTAACAAACGTAGAAGCATTTTCTGTATTAGCCTGAATACACTGCAACAAGGAATTTAACAAGCAAGCATAGTTAGCTTTGCTTATTAGGACAGTTCTTCAAAAATGAAAGGATTCTGCCCCAAACAGATCAGCAAAAAGGAGAAAGCACTCTGTTATCTCAGGAAAAGAGCACTTAAGTAATTTTCTGCAAGCTGCTCTACGAGGTGGGGTTTTTGCTTGGGAAATTTTGCTTTTCTCCACAGAACACCAGCTGGCTGTTTGCAGAGCAGGCAGAGGAACTGCTCTCAGACTGCAGCAGTCACAAAATGCAGAAACCCCTTTGCTACCAAACATAGACACAAGAGCTATGATGGGAGATGGAGGCTTCTGTCAAACTGCATTATCCTGCCCATCCTCATCCCACCAACTGCACTGCTCCAAACACACTGGGATCACCTCTGCTCCTCTGAGCACTAGAGCTGTTCCTCCACTCCTACTAACAGGGAGAACAGGGAGAACGCTGCTGTCTTGAGAGAAGCATCATCCAGTTCTCAATTCTCTTAAAGACCAAACCGTTGCCATGTAAATCACAACACAGTAAGTATTAACTTTTGAAAACATTCAGAAGTCTGTTCATTGGGTGAATTCCGACGGGCTTCATTTACATACAATTAATAACAGATTGTTTTCATTTTGATTTATGGAGTCACATCTCCTTTCAAAGCATCTTAAAGTCTACTTTATTAGGTATTTATGGCATTCAGAAAAATTACGCTGATTTGGCATCAGTTTTCTTTTCCATATTCTCCTCACACTTCCAATTCAACTGCTGACTTTTCATAAGCAAGAGAATTTATATGCAGTTTTAATGCAAGAGGATGCCCGATTTTGCAAATGTTCTATGCAGAAAGAAGCCAAACAGTCAGGAGGCTACAGATCTTTGGAGACATCTGAAATACAAGACTGACAATGAATTTTACAATTCAGTCTGAAATTTAATGTAAACAGACTCTTCGGTAAAAGCTGAAAACGCAACACAGAATTAAGAGATATCTGAGAGCGGTAAACATTCGCTCTTTCTGCTGTCTTCTTTTATTTTAATGTTTACCCCTTGAAGCATTTTTGTGCTCTTACCCACTAGAGTTAACCCTGCTGTGTAAACTGCACAGTACACGTTTCCATTTTATCTGTTACTCATCTCAAATGGGTCAAACCCCATACAGCTCTATTAAATTTGTGACTAAAACCTACGAAAATCTTAACTGCTGAAAACAGCCTATAAAAACTCAGCAGCAGCAGCTTGCAGTTCAGTCTTCTTTCCTTTTCAGGGTTGGTTTTTTTTGTTGTTTTAAACTCAATTAGAAGTGAATAACTATCCAGATAATACGTTACTACACACTAGGACAGACTAAATACGACTGACTGCTTAGAAACCAATACCATTTGGGCAAACACGGGTAAGCAGATCAACAGTTACATAATACACAACATCTCCCACACAATACTAATCAAAAACCAAGCAAAGTGACTTAAAATAATGAGTTATGATAGAACATTTGCATAACTACAGCCAGTAGCATTTAATGAATCTGACCATGAACAGTCAGCAACAGATGAACACTGACTCAAGATCTACAGTAACAAACATATAATAAAACACAACAGAACTGGTAAAACTTCATTTTTAGAAAGACATTAGCCTTGGACAAAGTACAGAAGTTGAACAAGATGTTTCTTTATAAAAAGTGAGGTCAAACACAAAAACAGTTTATCTGTGTTTAGACTGTGCCTAAAACACGAGACCCGTTTTTGTTTAGCTCTCAGCCGTCCTCACACACGAGGGGAGGAAAACCAGATGTCACGCTCTGACTGGAACCACACTGTGGAGTCAGACATCAAAACTTTGAAACACTTAAACCTGTCCAACAACAGGAACATTACACTGAGACTTGTCCATTTTCCAGTAATTATCCCCTGGACCTCCTCAGTGTTGGCTGACCATAAATTAGAGCGTGGCTACAACACACACAGAGTCACCATTTGGTGGAGGAAAACCACCTGCCTCCAAAGGAAATATGGAAACACACGCTCAGCATCCACTGTTGGGGAGTTTACTCCTAATTAATGGCAAGCCACGGTCAGGTCCAGTTAAGGACTGTCTTTGGTACATGCATTTGGCATACACTTAAAAGACTAATTCCAGTTCCAGTGAGCAGAACAAGCCACACACATTTTATCCAGCTCTTCCTAAGATACTGGCTACTAGATAAGATACCAAAAAGAGGGGGAAAGTTAAAAAGAGGAGCAAAAACGCTATTATTACAGCACAGAAAATCCCCTACTGTGTACGTTGCTGCTTAACAGTGCAAAGAACTATTGCCAAATACCACAAGAAAAACAAATTCAAACTCCTTCTAGAGACAGAGCGATATCAGTTCTTTTTTTTTAAATCACTTTTTTTTAAACCTTATGATTAGTAATTTCTATTTTGTTCATAATACATATTCAACAACCTACATTAACCACTGCAAGATACTCTGCACTGCTAGAAAGTTTCAGAGTAAAACAGTAAAAATAGTTTCTGGGGGTGGGAGTAACTTTCTACTAGAGGCAACACTGAACAACCTTCTTTAAATAAACCCTTTAAAAGCCAGGAGGTGACAATTATTTTTGTCCCTGCCAAGCTAAACAGTAATGAAGAGGTCAAAAAATAAAAGCAAATAGTCCAGTAGACCATCCCAGCCCTTCAGTAAGATAAAAATGAGCCTCTCAGCAGGCACCCAGTAAGGGGAAGCCTTTGCAGGTAAAAGCTAAACCACAGGCCCATCTGACAGAAGGTGTAAATGACAATTCAAAGTACTCCTGACTTACAAGGGCAGTTGAACTATTAAAAAACATGAGTATATACTCAACACTTCTTGAAGCTAAGACCTGCAGAGTGAAGCTGTTCCAGGGGACTATTCAGATAAAGCAAGGAATAAATATGCCAGCTGTCTCTACTCAATCCCTGCTTAGATACTGGGAAGATGAATGGGGACACAAGGAATACTTTCAAGCCCATTAGCCTGAGAGAAGTGCAAGTCAGGGCTCACACAATGCACTCACAGTCCTCACTGCCACAAGAATCAGGATTCTCTCATAAACCAACAATCACCATCACAAAGCAAATTCCCTACTTTCTTGCTGAAATGATACACATTTGAGAGATTTATGACAGTTGTTTTTTCTTCCCAGATATTCACCTGCCTCTGCACCAAGAGCCACATGGTTTTCAAAGGAGTGCGTGCAACTTTAAACCCACTAAAAGATTACTTGATCAAAATAGTTCTAATCCACTAAAAAAAAAAAAAAACCCAAACCAGACCACTCCAGTTTATTTTTCTTTCCAGGGTCACATAAATCATGGTTCTGAGTTTTCTTCAGTTCAGGAACACCAACTCCTCAAATTATCATAACTTACAGAAGTTTCTTAGTGCCTGTAAACTCCTCAGTAACCCACAACTTCTGTTTTATCAAAAACAGCTACTCAGAACTAGATGCTGAGTCAAATCAAAGTCAAAAGAATTACAGGGAGGATTTTTAAACCTTAACATTTGATTACAGAAGTAAAGGCAAATATAACCCAAATAAAACATCACTTACTAGAAATAACAAAAAAACCCCAAAACCATGCAGTAGTATCCTTGTTTCAAGAACAAGCAGAACAGATTATATCAGGACAAATTCAAATAACCAAAGGGAAAAATGCCAACTTAATTATATCTCCTGTATAGTAGAAAATGCAAAAGGGCTGCAAATTTGGCTGCTTCATAGGCAAGATGTTCTGCACATACCAGCCACTACCACTCTTTCCAATACATTTCCCTCCCATGTTCCTTTTAAAAATCTAATTTTCCTTCTTTATTGAATCAAAGTCTCCATGCCAGCCCCCTCTTGAAGACAGTTCCCTCTTCAAACATCACTTTGCTCATTCCCTGCTCCACTCCCTCCACACTTTCCCCTTTCTCTACTCTTCAGCAAAATGAGTTTCTGCATAAATAGTACAGAGGCACGGGAAAAAAAAGTTGTTATTAAAAACACTAGGTGGATACGACCCCAGTTTGACCACAGAGCTTCTGAACACTTGCCCATTCCAGGAAAGAAGGAAATACAAAATCATCCGTATTGTTATAGATTAATGTAGTACTGAAGTGCTACAGCTCTTCTTTTAAAGTACATTAACTGGTAAACCCTACAGAGATAATTATTAATCTTGCATGTCGAGAAAATCCCAACAGAAATAACGACAGAGGTGTGAGAAGCTGCATCCCAGTCACTGATGGTGCAAAAACGAGCACAGTCACAACTCTGTGCAAGATGAAAAATGGCAGCTACAACAGAAATGCTATGAGAAGGTACCAGAAAAGTGTCTGAATTCTGAATGTTTGAGATCTTAATTTGAAGACAGACGTTTCCTTTTTAAGGTATAACAACTTCCATTCAACTGACATTACAAAGTTATAATTAGCTCTGTTATTTCGCTGATTTTACCAAGCTCTGCCATTTGACAAGTGGTGAACTCTTCGTCAGGTGTGTTGAAAGAAAATTCTCTTTCCAATTTTGCATCGTTTCCCCCTTCATCTGCAGTACTACTTGAAAAAAAAAAAAACAAACCACAAAAAATTAAGAACTCTGTTACAGCTAAGCCAGCCATTTTCAGCTGCCAAACTAAAGTTTAGTTCCATTTTAGTACCAGGAGACTGTGGATCATAACTCATGCAGTTAAAATGAGGATTACTTGTTGACATCAATTTTGAACAGCCCAAAATAATCCAGTCTTCAAATTTTGGGGGGGAGGAAGGGGAATGAGATTACTGAGAGAACTGGCAGAGGCAGTTTAAATGCTTTGCTGTGATTAGTAGAGAGCACATCATGAGAAAGAATGTATTGATCTGGAGTTGTGCATAGTCTGACTGCAGAACTGATAAGGCAAAGAGAAGCTGGAAAGAGAAACGTTGACACCCAGTTAATACCACATGAAGGAGCCAGTAAATCTCACTTTAAAATGCCTCAGAGAACATTTGATTATTTGATTGACTGTATTAAAAATAACCAACCATTCAATCAGTAAAGTATTTCCTACTTATTTACAGGTCCTTCTTCCAAAGGGCACCAAAGATGGGTGGGAATTCCCGTCCCTGAGGGATTCACATGTCCAACAACACAAATTAGTGGTCTTACACAAGGCTAAATAAGACTGAAAACATTCCCTTGACCAATTCTGCACTCTAACTAGTCTCCAATATAAGTCATGCTCCTGTGATGAATCCCGCTGATGCTTTTATGCCACTCAGCATTCCAATTAAATTAATATTTGTAATTATACTTCTGAGAAAATGCAAATGGACACAACTCCACAAGATCAGTTTATGGCCTCACCGGTCACCCCCACCTGCCTGTCCTTGCTTAAGGAGCGTAAGGAAAAGTAAAGGTAGTCATTTCTTTTTCCTTCAAGAGAATTACACCACATAATTAGAGTTTCACAAATCCCATGAAACACAGCGCATCTAAAAGCTCGATTGCCTTTTAATGCTGTGACAGACTTAAACCAGAGGTGATCTTTTATATGTGCCATGCCAGACTCCACATGCTGAGACACCAACTCAGCCTGGCCTTCGGAAGGAGGCCAATAAAAGAGTTCCAGAACACCTCCTGCTGCTCTCACCTGTTTCCCCTTCTCTGAGTAACCACTGAAAAAAGGGATGGAGGGGAGAGAAATGAGCTTCACAAAGCTCTTCTGCAGCCACCAAAGACCAGACAAGCAGAAGGAAAAACAAAACTAAGTACAACAGATCTCTCCTGAACTACTGCTAAAAGGTTCTGCTCATACCAGAATGAGCTTTAAGAAGAGAAAGGAGGGAGTTACCACACAGAAGACATCTCACCTTTCAATTTTTGCATCAGCAAAGGTATCAATGCCTGGACTCACATGGCAGCCCCACCACTTGTGACACAGCAGCAGCCGGTGAGCAGAGACTGTTCAGGCACAGCACAAAGCCCGGCTAAAAAACAACGTTTGTTTACTACACCAACCTCCAAGAATTCCAGAAAAAGTTGTCATTATTGCCGTGACTGAAAGTCCCGTGGCAGCAGAAAGTTCTCAGCAGCCGGGCTGAGCCGGCCATGCAGGACACCGGGATGGACCGTATCCCATCCCTTCTCCCACCCCCCGCTGCTGCCGAGGGAGTGGTGCCTGCTGTGGGGACGGGTGACTGAGGGCTGGGAGGAATGACCCCTGTCACTGCCGAGGAAGGATTCACAGACACATCCAGAGGGCTCACAGACACTTCCCTGACCTCCGCAGACAAGTTTATCTCCTCCTGCCGGGAAGCTGCTGCAGGCTGGGGCTGTGAGGGCAGACAGAAAGGCGCTGGGGGCACGGATTACCGAGCTTTGCCTCGCTCCTTAATCCAACTTTTCCGATTTTTGTTTTAACTTCGGTTCACAAAGACAAGCTCAATTTTGAAATACTTCCCGCACCGTTCTTTACTCCTGATAAAGCCTCGACAATACGCGATCACAGAACCACAGAATGAATCACGGATTGGTTTGGGTTCAAAGAGACCTTAAAGCCCATCCAGTCCCACCCCTGCCACGGGCAGGGACACCTTCCACTAGACCAGGTTGCTCCAACCTGGCCTTGGACACTTCCAGGGACAAGCAATACCATGGAAGTTCTGCTGCCCAAAATCCACAACCCATCGCTCCCATCACCTACTCCGCCACGGCGCGTGCAGATCCACACGGGCACATCCCGAAAGGAATAAAAGCCAGCCAGGAGGGGGGCGGGAGGCAGCGGGAGAGCGGCGGCACAGGCATGATCTCACCGGGCACCCCGAGGCTCCGCTGCCCGGGGTCTGGAGCACCGGCCACGGGGAGAAAATCCGAGTTTCCTGCCTTTGTACCGCGGCGGTGTCGGGCTGCCCTCCCTCACAAGCCCTTCCAGGCGGGACACGGCTCCCAGCGGGATGCGGGGCCGCCTCCCCACCGCCTCCCCTGGGGGTCCCCGTCGGGGCCGGCTCCGCTCGCCCCCGTCCCCCCCGCGCCCCCTCGCCCCGCAGCGCTGCCCGAGGAAGGCGGAGCGTGCACAGGGGCTTTACCTCTCCGGCTGGATCCGTCCCTCAGTCCCTCAGGAACACGCTCGCAGCGCTGGAAGCCGCCTGCGCCCCGCGCCGCCCCCCCCCCTCCCCCCGCTCCCCCCCCGCTCACGACATGGTCTCTCCCGAGGCGCCGCGGCTGCCGCGGCCGCGGGCGCTCCCACTCGGCGCGGCGGGGGGGGGGGAGGCCGTGCCCGCGCTGCTCTAATGGCGGCGGCCGGAGCGGCCCAAAGCAAAATAAACCCCCGCACGGCCGAGCCGCACGTCAGCGCCGCCTGCCGCCCTGTGCAACGCCCATTGGCCGGACCGCGCCCGCCCTCCGCCAACCGGCGGGCGGCTCTTTGCGCAGAGCGGTGATGTCATCGCTGCCGCGGGGCGCCGGGCGCGGCGCGGCCGCCAGGGGGCGGTGCCCGTCCCGGCCCCTCAGGTCGGGTCCCCCCGGGGACCCTCAGGGGGCGACCCAGCGGTGCCCCTGTCCGGCTGTTCCCGGACATTCCCGATCCCTTCCTGCACATCCCGCCGCTTCCCTCGGCGCCACCCGGCACCACACGGCCCTCCCCGAGCCAAACATGTGCCCGGGCCACGCGCGGTAACGCGCAGAACGTGTTAGTAGAGGAAACGAGGGCATCCCCCCGCTTGGCTCCCCGTCCATCACAGTGGGTGGTGTATTGACATAAACGCTTCCTGTGGGAATAATCCCTCAAAAAGCCCCTTGTGATGGCACGCGGCCAGGCGGCAGCCGTGGAGAACACTGCTTTGTGGCAGCTAGTCACAGAACAGGATCAGTTCGGTTGTGAAAGACCTCTGGGATCATCGAGTCCATCCTATGACCCAGCACCTCCATGGCACCAAATGCCACGTCCAGTCTTCAGTCCTCAAACACTGCCAGGGACGGTGACTCCAACACCTCCATGGACAGCCCCTTCCAAAGCCTAATTACCCTTTCTGTGAAGAAATTCCTCCTCATGTCCAACCTAAACCTCCCCTGGCATAGCTAAAGACAATGTCCCCCCTGTCCTGTCACTAGTAGCCTGGGATCCAGTGTCCTGATGGGAAACTTCTCCCGCGTACAATAAATACAGAGAATAAAGAGAAATAAAGCGAAAATCATGACAGAAGGTTTCACACCCAGGGTGTGCACCTCCCAGCCCTTGCTGGATTCCCATTAATTCCTTCAGTTCTTCCATAGCAAAATATTTCCCTGAGCACTGATAAGAAATAGAGGACATGATCTTTAGCTGTGCCCAGGGGTGGTTTAGGTTTGGCATTAGGAGAGGGTAATTAGAGGGTACAGAGAGGGTAATTAGACATTGGAAGGGGCTGCCCTGGTAGAGTCACCACCCCTGGAGATGTTTAAGGAAAGACTGGATGTGGCACTCACTGCCATGGTCTTGTTGATAAGATGGTGTTGTATTCAATGACCTCAGAGGTCTTTTCCAACTGAATTGATTCTGTGATTCTTTGAAATAAACTGTCAGTATTTCCTCTACGTGTCAATTCCTGACTCGGCATGTTGAGTGTTGAGTGTGTGGGGTCTGAAATTCAGGATGTCCACCCTGGCCTGGTGGACTCGTCCAAGCAGCAGTCGCACAGTACAAGCCCATTCTTCTCCTGGAACTGCTCCTCCAGCCCTTGGGTTCAGTCCTCGTGAGGGCTATGCAGTCCTCGTGAGGGCTATGCAGTTTTGTTGTTTTTTTTTTTTTGCTTTCTACTCAAAAACTGCAAGTCTGCATCTTCCTCAAGCTGCTCTTGCAGGCTCACTGACAGGAAAAGAGTATTCTCCCACATCCTTGCTTTTCCCTTGTGGTACCTGAATTTTTTTTTCCCCACTGCAGTTCTCACTTTTTATTTCAGGCTTTCTCAGATGTTTTACCACTTTTTTATTTCCATGCTTTCATTCCCCCTTCCCAGACATGGTGACAGGGGGGGACTCTGTTAGCTAATGCCTCAGGCTTGGTGTTGCAGGGGGGGAAACTCATCCTGGACCAGCTGGATCCATGCCTTCTTGCTCAATCAGCATAAAAGAAAAGCACCTGAGATGTTCCAGAAGAGCAGTGCTAGAAAAAATCTCTTTGTCCAGCAGACAAACAACTAGAACTGGAGTCAGGACAAGTAAAATGCAATTACTTATGGAGACTGAAATAGAAATTTGTCTTCATTTGCAATTAAATTAGTTCCCTATGAACATCAAGAATCATTGCAGGAGGAGGGTAATGTGATTTGTCTCTCTCAGACTAGTTATTTACTAAGTTCTCTTTCCAACTCCACTGAAAAAAGTTGGTGCATTTCTCAAAATGCAACTATGGAAAACAGGGAGACAACTTTATTTTTTTTTCTTGGATAAGTCATAAATATTAATTATTCTTTATCTGAAGGAATTGTGCCATCTCTATGCTTAGAAATCTTTCAGAAAATGTATCCCTTGCTCTTGACAGCCAGGCAAGGTGATGGAAGAGCTGTTGGGATAAATCCTAAATGCTGCCACAACTGTACAACAGTGAGAAATTTCCAGAAATAATTGTTATAGATTAGACTGCATAACAAGATATGAAAATACAAGGAATATCACAGATTCACAGAGTGGGTTGGGTTGAAAGGGATCTTAAAGATCATCTAGTTCCAACCCCCTTGCTATGGGCGGGAGTCTGTAATTTGAAGGAAAATATCCTTTCAAATTCTTCCAGAATATTTCCTGGAACTGCTAGAAAACCATTTGGTGATCATGGAAACATATTTTAGACAACACACAGTGCACTGCAGCACATTGGGAGTGTGTGATGTACCTTCACAACACAGAAAAGAGCTTTAATGAAGCTTGGCTCGTATTATTTCAGAGATTTTTGTTGTATAGGTAAGACAAAAACATCACCAACTGAAAAAATATTTTCAGAGAATTCTATGATTGCAAGTGATTTTAATCTCTGCATCATTGTCCTGAAGAACAGAAGCAGAGTAGTGAAACAGGTCCCTGGATAGTATTCAAAGGTGAACATGTGGTAAAATTGAATTTGAAAATATTTAACATTGTCACTTTTAAAAGTGAATCCTGGCTGCATCTCCAAATTACCAGGCCTTTTTGATGTTGGTGACTTTATTCCTTTAAGCCAAAGATTTTATGTCTGCTGCTGGCATCTCCCTCCAGGTTTAACTTGCAGGAGTTTGCCATTTGTTCTAGACTTAAACAATAAAATACAATAGGAATGACCTTTCAGCAGTTTAGAACATTGATATTTACACATGTATTTTATCCAATAAGAGCTTTCAGACTTCTAATTTGGAGACAAATCAAAATCTACATGACTTGATAACTAAGTTCTCCATAGACTAGGTGCTTGATCATCTTTTTGGTTTTTAAATGTCAGAAAGATAATTCTATTTTTATTAGAGGCAGCAAAAGTTGTAGGCAAGTACTAATTTCCTATATTCCACCCAAAATTTTCCTTTCATTCCACCAGTTTCAGGAGAAATTTTAACTCCCTGGTAAGGGATTTGGAACAGTCATACTCATTTGACAGCTAAATGTGTTATTTTGGGAACTTTTCCTTTGCAGAGCTGGATTCGCTCAGGCCTTGAAGATTGTGTGCCTTCACACAGAGTTGTGCAACTGCCCTGTGCACCTCAGAATAAACCCACAGTGGAACTATGAGCCTTCACTCACATCTAAAAATATCATTTGCACATGCATGTGTTCCAGCTTTTTTTTTTCCCCACTTCTCAAACATCATAAATCCCTGTTCCTCTAACTGCCCACCTTCCTCAGCCACCCTGAGTCTGATCTCCTTTCTCCTGGTTCCTCTAGAACAAGAAAGAACTGATAATAAGTCTCCCTGTCAGACCTCACAGGTTTGATGAAAACCAAGCAACGTGCACACGCGATGTGATTTTACAGGAATATCCGTGGACCCCAGCTAAGAAACCCCCCTTGTTCCTGCTCCTTGTCAGCCTGGAGCTGCCCCACCAGCACTGGAACCCTTTGTGCCTCCAAGGTGTGAGCCTCGCTGGCAGATGGCTGGAAAATTCCCTTCCTTTTCTGCAAAGAAAAGTTTTTAAGTTTATAAGTTTAAGATTTTTTCGGAATAATCCGGTCGCAAATTGCCGCCGTCTCCTGTTAAACACGAGCCCTTTGCACTGCTCTGCCTCACGAGACGCCCTGTTTTCTTCTGTCCTGCTGCTCACTGTTGGTAAAAGGCTTTTCCCCTCAACCCTCCCTGACGTTTCTGTTCTGATTCACCCTGGTTATATCCGAGCAAACGATACCCAAAGCTATAATTAGAAAGCAGGCGTCGAAACGTTTCACAGGAGCGTTTTGTGAGCAATAGCTGGGGGGACTCTGTGAAACAAAACTGTGCTTCAGGTAAGCAAAAAGCCAAACAGCGAATTATTTTCTGCTGGGATGGAGTGGTTTTTGTGCTGCAGCAGAATTACCTCAGCCTGAGTGCAAAGATTACATCTAGTTAGTGATGTCTAAGTGCAGATCTTGCTCTTATGTAATTCTCTTTACCCTGGTAACTCCTCGCTCCCAGACAGAGCGCCGGCTCCCATTAGGAGATTCATCCTCAGCTTATCCAGGAGCAGGGATGTACGTGCTCACCAGATGGTTATTTCTCACTAGCTGAACTTTGAATATGCAGAACTCCCTCCTCAAACCCTGCTTTATTCTGTGTTTTCAGGCTCTTTATGAGCAAGAAAGGTTTGCAGCTGAAGTGAGACACTTAGATGAAGGGTGAAGAATAGACATGCACAAAAATCCAAAGGAAGCACATGTTTTGGAGATATTGACAACAGGATATTTTAAATGGCTGACTGATTTCTCCATCCTCTCTCTGAGTCAGCCTCAGCCTTCACACCCAGTAAATCTCATACTTGTGGCTCCTTTTCCCATTTTAGTTTGAAATGTAAAAAATATTCAGCTATAGCTAGATCACTATCCCCTCTCTCCAGGCAAGGATGAGGTCAGAGAAGGCATAATCGTGGAACCACTGAATGGTTTGGGTTGGAAAGGACCTGAAAGACCATCTGTTCCCAACCCCTGCCATGGGCAGCTGTGGGGGCTCAGCATGGAGAAAAAGAGGCCTCTACAACTCCCTGAAAAGAGGTTGGAGCCAAGCAGGCGTCAGTCTTTTTCCATATAACAAGTGACAGGACAAGAGGAAACGGCCTCAAGTTGCTCCATGGGAGGTTTAGGTTGGGTATGAGGAAAAATTTCTGCATGGAAAGGGTTGTCAAGCCCTGGCACAG